AGAGTTAGCCAGTTAGCGGCAGAGTTAGCCTGATGTTTTTAGGTAGTTAGCGGCAGAGTTAGCCTGATGTTTTAGGTAGTTAGCGGCAGAGTTAGCCTGATGTTTGTAGGTAGTTAGCAGCAGAGTTAGCCTGATGTTTTTAGGTATTTAACGACAGAGACCAATCTTCACGCAGCGCTGCAGTGTGACCAACAGTAACCTCAAATTCAGGGAGGAGAAGGGTTTACAGTAAGGTGTCAGGTGTGACGCTGCGTTCACCATGATGTCCTCGAATGCACCATGGTGACAGCTAACGGTTGATCGATGCAGCAGCTATAAACAGCTTCAGGACACGGCCTTCAGGTCGGAGCCTTCACCTGCCAGCAGTGTTAAAATATCTTAACTTGTGTCTGTTAGCAAAATTTCTCATCAACCACTGGATGGATTTTAATAAAACTGTCAGGTATAACAATCAGAGGTACGTCTACAGTTGATGTTTCAATCWGATAATCGACTTTATACAACACAAAAAAGGCTTTAACCCTTGTAGTATTTGACAGGTGTTCAGCTAAAATCCGTGGTGGTAGCTGAGAGTGGTTCAMAACACGTTCTCTGAGGGGGCGATAGGCGTCCTGCTTAAAGGTGAGGAAGAGTGACGTTCAGAGAGGGAAACTCTTCGTCAGGGTTGATGATTCGGCACCGTCACCTCACACCAGGGGTCGCTCCAACGACCTTTGACCTTGCCGGCGAGCACACGTCCACCATGTTTTCACTGCAGCAGTGGCAGTCATGGCGGCCCGAGTCCGATGGTACCACCTCCTCCTCCTCCTCCTCCTCCTCCTCCCCGCGGACTGCAGCAGGTTTTCTTGTCATCCTCCCTCTCTCCCTCTCTTGTCAGTGTTGCTCCTGGCGAAAGGCTGATACTTGATATTCAGAGGATAGCAGCTTTTGTCTCAGAGATTTAATCAGTGGCTCTGCTCCCACTGCAGAGAGGGGGGAGCAGTGATGGGGGGTGGGGGGGTGAGGAAGGAGAGATGGAGGCAGAGACTGTTTATGTGTAATGACACAATAACAAAGCCTGCCTGTAAAACACAAACTGTCTTTTGAAGGGATTTTCAGGCCTGGATTAGTGTCAGGTCGCTCAGACAGGAGCTGCTTTCTCTCTGCACAGGCTGGAAATGCACTTTCTGATTTTTAGCTGTTTATTCGGCTCTGTGTGGACACACAGCTGAAGCTGACAAATGTGAGTAAAATATTTGACGGAGCGTCTCGTCGGGGCTTCTGTTTGCTCATAATGGCGGCTCTTTGAGGCCGTTAATGGAACGCTACAGATTCTTTTTTCTTTTTGTTAATGCACCGTGTCCATTTAGTTCCAGCTGAAAGGACTCAGAGAGAATCTATTCTTTTAAGAAGCTCAAACAGWTCTTTCAGGATGGAAGATGTTCCTTTTCAGGCTGCAGGTGTGAAAAATGCTTTTATTTATTTATTTATTTATTTTCTGCCGAGGTTTGAAAAAACATCCTGACAAAAGTTAGAATGTTATAAAAATTAAATGTAAATAAAAACAGAAAACGGGGATTTATAAATCACACAAACCAACAGTTTGTTCAAACAATAATTGTTTTGAAGAAAAATATAATTAATTTTTAATTTAAAGGCAGAAACACGTTTTTATAACATCGGTCTGTAAAGATCCAGGACCTGAGGAGACCAGGTCCGGAGGTTTTACAGGACCTGAGGAGACCAGGTCCGGAGGTTTTACAGGACCTGAGGAGACCAGGTCCGGAGGTTTTACAGGACCTGAGGAGACCAGGTCTG